AAATGAAAGTTTACAACACCCGACCATCACAGTTTTGCTAAATAAGATTCTTATTCTTTTTTGACCACTAAGTAGTGTTCACTTGTTCCAAAGTAATCGACACTTTCGAGTGATAGAATTCATGGACCATTAACACGTTTCGGAAAAGCTCTAAATTTAATCTTTCTTACGCTTTCTTTGCAAAACATGTGTGGCTTTGATCACGCAATGATTCTTAGTTCTAGTTTCCACAGTGTCCGCATTTCCTCCCATCAGTAATGCTTGGTACTATGAACACTGGTCATAAAGAAACAGCTAAGACGTTGTTTTATTTAGAAAATACCAGGTATATTTTTTTTGAATAGGCATTTGTTCTTGTAAATTAAGAAGCAAATTTTTGTCTGAGTCTTACAGGAGGGGGTCTAAAAATGTGCCATCTATTTTTAAAAGCACGCAATGCTTTGCTATTTTTTGTCTGGAAGGCTAAAATAGTTTTAGTTTTATCAAGAGGCAGAGTTAACAGTTTGTTTATAGGCTTTAATTGGGCCAGGAAGGCACAAAGGAAAGTTCACAGTTGAAAATTTTAGTTCACAGATATTTATATGTTGAATAAAAAAACAAATTGAATTAATTGCAAAAATTGTAAATTATCAAGCATAGGAGGAGGAGGACAAAACCTCACTACTACTATGTAGAATCTCCATGTTGCTTTACAACGAACTCCAAATTTCAGGGTCGTAACATGGTATATCCGGGACCCATTGATCCCTATTTTCTTGCCGTTATTTTGATCCCTGAGCCCCATTTTCCCAAAAATTTTGATCCCTGAGCCCTGATAAAAAAATTGATCCCATCCATGTTTTCACACAAAATTTTAACTTAGACTCCAAATATAGAATATAGAACATGCTCAAATAAGCTGATGAGAAAAACATTAACTTTAATTTTTAGCACAAGTTGTAGGCCCTGCAGTCACGTAACTGAAACACAAGGTTTTGTTCAACAAAAAGAAAACTGAAAGGCAAGCGAAAACGTCCAAAAAAGTGAAATTACACTCTAATAAAACTGTGTCATCCCGTTAAATGCATTCACCGCTTGCGTTGTTTACATTTTGAAAAGAGTTGTTCGTTGCAGAGCTACTGAATGAATAAAACGTTCTAAGAAATAACTTCCGCAGCAATTCTTTAAACGCCAAATTATTTTCAAGGCAAGAGAGTATTTAATAAAAAAAAATACTATTGGAGACCAGGTATTTATAAGCTTTAATCAACTTCACATTTATCAGGCTTGTTTCCTTTGTAATACGGTGCGTGACCGAAAATATGTTATGCAACCAGAGCTGTCCGCCACGCTTAAAAGACTTTAGCCTGCGTAGCAAGCGTTTCCAATCGAGTTACTGCGTGAAAGTTAGAGCGGGAGCAAAAAAAAGGTTGAAGGGGGAGGGGGAGGGGAGAAAAGGAAACGCTTGCCCGCAAACCCCACGATTCTGAAAAACGCCCCTTGATAGCGGAGCTCCACGCGCGCGCGACGCGCGCGCGTGGACGGAGCCCCATAGCTAAGGAAATGTGGTAATCTACCCATCCGAGAAAATTTGGTAATCACGTGACCGTACGCCCGACCGTCCGTCCGCACCACAGGGAAACCAATGTTTACTCTCACACTTTCTAGCTAGTTTGGGAGCCCAATAGAAAACTAATTGCACATCAATTTTGTGATCAATTGAAAGCTGTCAAAACAGAATATCCGCTGACCAGTATCACCTGACCGTACCGCGGGCTCAAGTGTCGACCCATCGAGGTCGAATACTTTTTTGGAGTTATCCGCTGACAAATGACCAGTTTCAAATGATCGCAGGCTCAAGTTCATTTTTTCCAATGAGTCATATGAAATATCTTGTGTTTATGTCACTATGGCCCCGCACTGTCAAGATTTTGATTTCAAACTGACCTCGGACGCGAAAATTCAGCCACTCTTTTAAAAATAAAGGCGGGGAAGACCTTTTCTTACCATGGTCACGCGTTGGTCACGCTCTACCTCCAATTTTTGTACTCTGATTGGTCAAAATTTGACAGGTGAGTTCATGCGGAAAATTTATGCAGCATCTCGAAAGTTGTTTACTTTGACAGCAAAAGCTGACAGAGTTTTGTGTCAAGTTGTGATGTTTTTAACTGTCTTTTTCCACTGGATGTACAAAATGAAATACAGCTGCTATCAAGAGTCTTCTGTTATCCATGGCTGGTTTGTTTATTAGGTTTTTGGTTGAGAAATGCGTCGCTTGTCAAAATTGGGTAATCCGGTTTCGGATGGCACCGTTTTCGTCTTTCACCTTGCTCAATGCGTAAGAGGGTTTAAAAGTCTCAAGCAACTATGGCCTTCCTTGATATCTTTCAGGAACTGAATCTCGAATGGTAAGACTGAGTAATGATTGTATTTGATGTTTGTTTTTGTGATATCTGATTTCATGAAGTCGAGCACAGTTTATGCGGCAAGTTTTTGCACGTTTCTTGAGATTTGAGTCAATGATCTGATCTAGTATCAGGTTTGATATAAGCTTACAGAACTTTAAAAGGCCTTCAGAAATATTTTCTCACGGCAAATAGAAAAAAAAAAACGTTCCGAAGAATATTTAGTTATAAATTTGGCTGTAGAAAGAAAACTTTGAGTGATTTTCTTGCTTGGAGGAGTTCATCTTTGAAAAAAAAAAAACACCGGGAGGCCGGCTGAAAGTAAAACAAAATAAACTTAAGCTTAAGCTTTAAGCTTAAAGACTCAGGATTTTTAGAGACACTTTAATACTTGTCTTCGTCAATGAAAATTGTTGTCTCTGTAAATGTTTTACCGAATTATAGTCTCTCTTGCAATTTTAATCGCTTGTCCGTGGTGTTTGTTTTCATTGTTCATGAACATCGCTTGCAGGAGTACTTAGAAATGTCGCGCGTATCAAACGCTTTTAATATAAGATTACACATCGTTATAACTGGAACCATTAAATAACAAAAAATAATGATAATAAATTCGTTATTATGTTGAAGCGTATCTCCAGTAAAGTTCATTCAAACACTCGACCACACTGACAGCTCGCTCTAAAAAACGGGTGATTTTAGAAATTTTTTGAACGGTTTCGCTAAAAGCCCACGATTGATCGTCCTGAACATTGAAAAATTGTGAAATGCCGTATTCTGCCCGAGGTCTGTATGATAAAAAGTACTGTTTCACCTCAGATGTGATGTATAAAAAGTATAAAAGGTTGGTTTACACACCCTCAGATTTGTTGGCAAGAATTTGTAAAGTAAACCTGTCGAACGCAAAAAAATGCTGCCTGATGTTTTCTCCAAGAATTTGTTTTCGAGGCCTAATCTACTGTGATCAAGAGCCATTATGGCTCTTGAATGTGATAGAAGATGTTTGCTATTTTTTGGGTGTACATATATTTAGGCTATCAACTCGATGTAAGATGTTTCACTCTAAAATAACTTATCCTTTCCCTCAAAAGTCCCATGAATGTGCCCTTAAGTTAACTGATTTGTGGATTAAAAGTTTATTGTTTGATTTAAAATATAAATTTATGAATGGGAGCTTCGCTTTTAGCCCTGGCTAAATCTATATATTATTTCACGGTTCGGTTGATTTGTAAATTGACAGCTCTTCAAAATAGAAGTATTACCCCTGGATTACCAGATTTGCAAAATTACTTTGTTCTGTAATAGAAAAAGTTCCAGGCGATTGCAAAATCTGTAATAAAAAAAGGTTTACGATAAAAGAAGGTTAAAACTCTGAGCGATTGCTGCGGAATTTCTTGTTTTTTATTGTGTGGCTTTATCTCGTCTGAAACCTTGTCGAAACGTCAAAAATGATTTGTCCGGAACAATTCACTCCGCCGGCTACAAGGTTTGCGGAGCTGCTGCTCTTCAGCCCGTGTCGAAACGTTCTCTACAAAACATGCCGCTAAATTTCCAATAAACAAATTAAAATAGTCTTTTCATTTCAAAAAGCTGATAAATCGCTTGTCCAAGGCGGCTCTAGCTAGTGTCGAGTACCGATGTTATGATTTATGTTGATGTTATCTCCAAACAAACAGTCTATTTTTTCCAGTCAGATCTGCACGCCGTCATTCCCAATAAATTGGCGTTCCCTAGTCTCCACTGCTCGATCTCCAATTATACTTTGAAGACTTTGATCTTATAAACCTTCGCACAAACACAATTCAAATAAACATCAGTCCAAAGCATTTGTAATCTGCGACCACAAATCAGATGAAACCAGATCTGTGACGCAAGTAAACAAAGCATACCTGGTTTGATTGATGTTTCGAGTGCTAAGTAATCAACACTTCCAGCACCGCGCCAATCAGAAGCTGCGTTCGTGGGCGAACGCAGTTTTTCAAAATCGTGGGGTTTGCTAGCCTCCCACGTAGGCGTTTTTAGGGGAGCTCGTATTTCTTCCCTCCCCACAAGAAATACGAGCGCCCCTAAAAACGCCTGCGTGGGAGGCTAGGGGTTTGCGGGCAAGCGGTTCCTTCATTCCCCTCCCCCTCCCCCGTCCTTTCTTTTTTTTGCTCTCGTCCCAACTTTCTCGACGAACTCGCGAGGAAACGCTTGCTACGCAGGCTAAAAAGACTTGTAAGCGTTCCCACAGACTGCAGTAAATTTAACAGGCAAGTCCGAGTATTTTAATGGATAAATTTAATACTCATCAAGTAACAATGGGGATTAAAAGGTCAATCAAGCAACAAAATTCGAAACAAAAGAGACATATCGCACCTAAATCAAAGGAATTCCGCTCGTGGATTCTTCGGAAGGTAATCGACAATGGCAGGAACAATAGCCTGAATATATGAATACTTGATGACCCCAAAATTTGGGGTACACACTTAAATCGGCGTGAAGTTGTAATGAGAGCTTTAAAGATCAATATGAGTCAACGTCTTTTTCTGCATTATTCTATTTAAAACACTTTAAATATAATGTTTGGCGATACTAGACAAATGATAAAACCTGATTTTCTTGAATGGGAGCTTTTGTAAGATACACAATGTAAGTTATGTTTAATTTACACATTTAAAGTAGTCCACTTCCCTTTAAGTATCGTACATCTTGAAAGATCTCGCGGCGGAAACTTGATTTTTTCAGATGTAACGTTCATCAAGAGTATTTACAAGGTTTATTTTCAGTGTTGCTGATACGAGCAAGGCCACCCGGAGGTTTATAAGACAATCACAAGCTTAAGAAAGCATTGGATTCGAATAAATACAAAATTTTTGGATAAAAAATTCGAATAAATATATTTTTAGTCAAACAGCAAACACAGCTAGCGCTGGTTGGTCCCCGGTTGAATTAATGTCACTGTAAGGTACTTCTGAACTAAGGTCTTCCTCTAGATTTCCAATTCCTGTACCGGACGAACATCTGCTTTCCCAGATAACTTGTCCAGTTAATCAATGTCCGATCTGTGCAATGATGTGGGTAATGGATGTTTTATTTCCAAAGAGACTCTTGCAACCAAAAATTTCACGTCGGCCGTGTTACTGGTCTACAATATTGATGTTAATAAAGTGTAATCGTTTGTCTCACGATTCAGTCACTTAAGGATGTAGATCGCGGCATTTCAACTGCGTACTTCAAGTGTTCATTAGAAAAGCAACACTTAAAGACCTTGGCTTGCTAGTCTTCGTCGACTGGTCACACGTGAACTTATATTACTCCAAGCTCTGGTTCTTGTTGGTCGATTATTAGCCACTGAGATTGGTGCATTTCTTACTCCGTTGTTTGTATTGAGCTTTTGCCTCACTGGTCCGTTGTCGTACGGATCTCCTATTGCTGTGTTTCTTGATTAAGGGCAACCAAGCTTCTGGACTTTCTATTCTGCTATCCCCGTTGATGTTGTGAGAGTGCACTCTTATGTGAATTTCCTCTTTCACTCTGTGTGTGTTACAGTGAGGATCACGATCAATTACCAATAGAAAAATACCTGCTTTACATGAAGTAGAAAAATTAAATGGTGCAAGCCACAGGTTCTACAGTTTAACAGCTTTTCTGTGTCAAGCCCATTAATGGCTTTTCCTGGCTTAATAACTATTATAGATTGTTAGAGGACATATCTGGTTGCAGGTCTTCCAGACCTACTCCTTCCTGCTTCAAATCTAATTGGCTCTGAAAAGTTGTCCCCCTGAGCTTGCTCCCCTTCCTCTTCGTCACCACCTGACGCAGGTGAATCATCTGATTCGACTGACCCCTGGAGCGATGCAACTAGGCGTTGCTCTTCAAGGCAGCTCAAACAGAAGTTGTTTCCATCTTTTATTATTTGAACCTTCCCGATGATACACTTGGGTGAATTTCTATCGTCACGGTGCCCAGTCTGGTATACAACGGGATCTTCTTCTGACTGTTCCAGCCATCTCAAACCCATGTGATCTCAGGAATGCGTCCCCCGGCGTTATGGTGGAGATCTTTTAAAAGAACTGCAAGGAAGCAAGGAATGATATACCTCTTGTAATTGTGGTTGTGAGCAACTAAGTCTCTTTTGAATAAATAATCTCATATTCTTCGGCTGCGTCTTGAACTGTAGTTTGTCCTTCACTCCCTTGAACCTCTTTCAGCAAATCGACTTCTCCATGTGCCGACGCATTCCTTCTGAACATACTCAGAGCAAGTGCAAGTGTACCAACACTTTCTTTGGTCTCTCGTTCGTTGTTGTCGTACACCCCGTCCGAATTCTTTCGCAAAGCTCTGCAATGCCTTCCTTAGCCTGAGATCATGCCCTCTCCCTATTATCCCTTTATGACTCTCACGGGAAGGGGGCATGATACATTTCTTTGTTGGATCACATGCAAAAAAGCCAGAATCTGGACTTTTTTCTGATTGGATAGGAAACAATACGGATGATTTGCGCTATTCCAATTGGCCAAAATGCCGCCATCCGTTAGCGGTTGTTGATTTCAGTCTGCATTTTTTGCTTGCGTAATGAGCAGTGAATACACACGCGAGTTCGTTGTAAAATTTCTGCCGGCTCAGTTTCTTGAATTTGAAGAATGCCTAAATAGAAATTTCATCCCTTGAAATATTTTTCATCTCATCGTATACTAAAAAGTTGCAGTCAAAAATTCACCGATCATGTGAATGCAATTTGATACCGGTTACAAGTTACAGAAGCGACAAACGGGTTCACTTTTCAAATAATCAATTCATGAATGGAATCTTGACCTGGTTTGACTGTAATTCCTCCTTCAGAAACGTGCGAATTATTCTGAGCGATGTTCGCTTTCACAACACCTTTCAGTTCGTAAAATATGGTGCTTCAGCCTAATTTTTTTCACCGCTTTCGGCTTAGAACGAAGTCAAGGAGCTTTAACCAGTAAATTCTTTATTATTTGTAGCTGTTAAATAAAGGTACGGCAGCTCCAGCTAGCAGTATTTCATCGCAAAACAACACATGTAAATTTTTTTTTTTTTAAGCGCCATCTGAACATGGACGTACTTCAAAATTTTCTTTTCCTTAAAAGACATTCGCGCCAAAATTTGATTCCCGTATGGTAAACGCTTATTGGCTAATAACATGACAGGTCAAGCAGACGTTAGATTATGTAAATTAGGGGGCGGTTAACGGCTGGTTAAATAAATGTATCAGGCGTTATTTTTTTTCCCTCTCGAGCCAAAGAAACGAAAAAGCAAAAAAAAAAAATAACGCCTGATCTCAGGTTATGCCTTCCGTTGTCGCTCCTTTCCCTTCGCGCTCGTTTCCTCGTCCATATCTTCCTTAAGGTGTACTCTTGCCGTGCGACTTTCGAAGCCATTCCGGTGCCTTTTTACCCAGCTTTCTCTCTGTGTAATGGCTTGCAAAAATCTTGCATGAAAAAAATAACCCATCCCCGGCTCAAAAATCAAATAGTGGGCCCCTTACTGGTGGCCCTTCATGCTGAGTGCTATAATATATCAGGGGCACCCAACGTCAATTTTCGGAAAATATCTGTTCGGAACACAATTTGAGATCTAGAATTTTCGGAAAATGTTTTGTAAAATTTCTTGCTTGCCTGCCTTTCCTAGGATTTTCGAACATCTAAAAAATGGTATAATTGCCCATTTTTAACGGATTTTTACCCTAAAAAGGTCACCTAGAATTTTTGGAGCCTTTTTTCTGGCTGAAATTTTCGAAAAGGTAAGTTTTGATCCCTATAATTTTCGAATCACTAGACTTTCAGCTGGAAATTCCGAACAGATGAAAAATTTTTAGGGGATAAAAATATGCCTATATCTACCGTTTAAATACTAAAATACGTTTAACAATGCTATGTTTCTATGTTTAAGTGGTTTTGAACTATATTCTCGTTGGATGTCCCTGATATATTAAATTCCTGCAGACTCTGCTACATGTACCTAGTCTGCAACATTCCTTTCACCAATTCAACTGTCTATTTCATAAAAAAAAAACTTAAGAAAATAAACTATAAAGGCTTTGTTACTTTTATGTCACCGAGGTAAGTCTTTGGCGTTCCACTTATTTTCACTAATTCTACATTGTAATTTCAGACTATTTATCATACAAGCATTTATCAGTTATACAGTAATGGAATTGGATGTGTCCTTTACTTTCCCGGCCCAATACTAGTACTGGTAGGTGAACCGATCTCGGTTTCTAATCAGAGTTCGAGATAACCCTAAAGCTCCATGCAATTAGAGCAGATTTGTTAAATTGCGAGAAAGCATTTATTTTGCAACAAAGCGCGCGAATTCATTGTACTTTTGTATTCTACTTTTGATGTCCATTCTAATTATCTAAGTACTTTTAAGGGTTAAGTTACTGGTCAAAAAATACGAACCTCGATTTATGGTCGCCTTGTGACTTGCTTAAGGCGATGAGGCAATCGGGTCCTATACAGTAAATTCCTGCACTTTCAATGAATCGGTTTGTCTATTGTCCTGAAGGTATTGTTGTTTGATCGGCCGAAAAACTCTATGCTTGGACCCTTGCCAGGAGTAGATCAAGGAAGTACTTACGTACCTTTCTCCGTCCTAGGATTTCTTTTTGTCCTTTTTCTTCTTCCCCATTTCTCGCAAAAAAAGATATGTATAAATCGCTTTCTCCGCCTTCTGGCGTCGACAGCGCGCTGAGGAGGTGCGTTACAAAGCGAGAAAAGTTACTTGAGAATCATATTACGGTGCCCTCAACAATTTAATAATAAATTAAGAATATGATACCGTGTTTTCGTCAAACAACCAGGACTTCGTATGACAGGAACTGCCGCCAGCCGGAAGCAAGAATATGTAATGTACCTCGGACAGCAAATTCTATGGACACAAACCTTATTATGCGGAAAAATATTGTGATAAGAGATTTTTAGACCGTGTGATAAATATGATCCCTGATTCGGGCTCAAAAGCCTTGTGATCCCTGATCCCATTCTTCTGAGCCCTGAGCCCTCTCCTCTGAGCCCTGATCCCAGTCAAATTTTGGGCTTTGAGCCCTGAGCCCATATACCATGTTACGACCCTGAAATTTGTCTTTACCTGGGATTAGCAGGTGGATCTGTTTATTGCAGAGAACAGTTTTTGATAATATTGAATGAATAAAAAATTCCTAATAAATACCTTCTGCAGAAAAGCTTTAAACACAAAATCATTTTCAAGGCAGGGAGACTATATATATATTAACTACTGGAGATCAGGTATTTAGAAGCTTAAATCAACTTCAAATTTATCAGCTTTGTTTACTTTGTAATAGGGTGCATGACTGAAAATAATTATGTTACCGCAACCAGAGTTCGCCCCCATGCTTAGAGGACTTGTAAGCGTTCCCGCAAATGCAGCAAATCTAACAGGCAAGTCCGTCAGTATTTAATGGAGAAATTATAAATACCCATCAAGTAACAATGGGGACTAAAAATCAATGAAGCAACAAAATTTGAAACAAAAGAAAGATATCGCCCCTAAATCAAAGGAATTCCGCTCGTGGATTCGTTGGAAGGTAATTGACAAGGACAAGAACAATAGCCTGAATATATGAATACCTGATGACCCCAAAATTTGGGAAACACAATTAAAAACAGAGATGCCAACCTCTGGAGACCTAAAATCGGGAGACTGTCCTTTTTTCACTACCCCCCCCCCAAAAAAAAATTGACCCAGCCCCCAATGGGAATAACTTAGGACATTATATGACGTCTTACATTATGTACATACTATCAAAATTTGAAATCATCGTTTTGATGCTGGAAATAATAATTGTCAATGACTAAAATACGTGCAAAAATGCCCCAGAAACCGTACTGCAAATAAGAAAAATAATTCAAGTTTTGAGCTAAAAATGGGCTAAATCTCAAACTAAGTCGGTTTTATTTTTTACTAAGTATTCAATATTTACAGTGGATGTAAAAAGTGGGAGATTTATGTACCAAAGCGGGAGAGCAGGAGACGAGGCAAAAAAGCGTAAGTCTCCCACCAAAAGCGGGAGAGTTGGCACCACTGCACTTAGGGGTGGCGAATGGTAGCTCAAAAAACGTGGGTCTCGAAAAATTTGGGTAGGATCTCGAAATATATCTTGAAAGCGTTTTTGATCAGTCTCGAAGTCTCATTTTTGCATGGTTTAATTAATGTTTTACTTTTTTGGAGTCTCGAAACTTTTTACCAAAGAGTCTCGCGCTCAGATTTCTAACTAGGATCTCAGCGTCTCGGCAAGTCTCAGATTTTACCATTCCCCACCCCTACACTTAAAAATGAGCATGAAGTTGTAATGTAGGCAAGGGCTAGGGTTCAGGGGAGAGCAGATTGTATAAAGATATGTATTCAAAGAAAGGAGGATAAAAATGAAGAGAACATACTTGTCAATCAAGCAAAGTCATGCAAAATGCAAATCGCACAATTGCAATCTGCGCTGAACAAATTAGAATCTTTCATGCAGCATTCGTTCATAGCTGACAAACACCCAGGTAGTACATGTTTCTAAGGTAGATGTTTTCTGATATAGCATTTGATCTCAAATACAGTTTACTAATGGTTTTCTTTTACCAGTCTGTTAAAGCCTTAGACTTTTATTGCCGCTAAATAACCTTAGTTTCTTTGGTTTTCTCTGAAATGCTTCAGCTTGAACCTGCATGCAAGGCTGTGCTCTAAGGAAAACTGAAGGGAGCCCAGTGCTCTGAAGCTGTAGAATCTAGGGTGCCCAGCATATGATTTATACGAAAAATCTGAGATTTTCTAGTCGCCCGAGGGTAAAAGTTAGGCGCCAGGGGCCACCGGGCTCTGCTAGAGCACAGCCCTGGCATGAATACCTGCATGTGAGTACAAAGTGAGGTAATTTTTTGTTGAATATCATTATGTCCTAATTTGTTTTTGTGCTAGAAATGAAGGCTAGATTGCAGAATACACCACAGTGTGCATCAGAAGACACTGGAAAACCAGTCAGCAAATTTTTCCCTAACAATTAATTTTTCTGTTCAGAAAGAAGGCTTTCCAGTTTGAACTCCTCTTTCGATCACTGCATGTTTACTATAAGCAATCTTTGCCAAGCTCCTTCTGAGAATTTTGACAGGTCTAAACTGCAAATGTATTAAGGTAAGTGACGGCAGAAATCTCAGTTTTTTCATGAAATGATAAATATGTTGGACACCCTGGCTTTCATAGGTTGAGAGAACTGGGCTTCTTTCAGTTTTTAGCTCATGGATGACGTAGTCATGCCATGGGCTTTTGGGGGCACTCGAATGGCACTCGATCACTCACTCACTCACTCACTCACTCAATTCTCATTCATTTATTCATTAAATTAAAGTCAGATTAAACACTTTACTTTTACCTCCCTTACTTAGTATTACTTTTGTTCCAAGTGCCTTATTTACGCATATGTTTGGCATATTCTAGAGGGAACTAGTAAAGGCATACATTTTTTTCCCGACACATCATACAGTAGCCAGCCTAGCAGAAGATATCGATGGGATTTGTGGAAATGGAAATATTCTAAAGAACACCGACAATATCACCGGCAAGAAATGGACTTGGAGTTGTTGAAAGGACGTTGAAATAATTGAGCGGAGATCATTGTCGTATATTTGGACAAACTGTGCTCGGAGTGTGAAAGCTATCGCAGCCCTATGAAGATGGGATTTCGCTCAGCGAAAAGCGAAATATAATAAGCCAAAGAGCCTTAGCTGCCGAAAAACGGTCCTCGATTAAAGTGATGTTGAGGAGTATCTATTGTGTTTATTATTATTTGGACAATATTTTGCTTGAATTCTGTAAAAAGGTGATTCCATTTATCAGTGCCATTAATGTAATATATCTACAGGAAATGCTATGCTGGGATAAACAAGTTTGTAGAATACTCAAGTAACATAAGGGCAATAGGTACTTTGACAGCGTTAAATTACTTAGCTACAAGGTCAGAGCACATACAGCCTCGAGCTCACTTCCGTTTATCAAAATAATTTTTAGCTAGTGTTTTGCAAAAGTGCATTCTAAAGCAGTTTAATTTAGCCGTAAACGCCTGTATTCTGTATTTAATAGCTCGTAGTACAAAAACTTAAACTCTTTGTGAAC